TTTCAACATTCCAAACTAATTGAAAAACAATTTGATTATTTAATTAACTGATGAATATGTTTCATTTACCTGGACAAAAGTAGAGATTTTTGAGAGAGGATTATAGGTGGGTTTATCATTGCGTAATATGAACTTATTTACTTGAGCCAATAAGTATTATTATAATCAAGGATTTTCCGAACCCGTGAAATCTTCCATCGTCAATATTTCTTTTATAGGCTTTCGTTAAAATAAAGCATAAATGGTGCTTTATCATAACGTAATATGAAATTATTTACTTGAGCCAATAAGTATTAATCATGGATTTTCCGAGCCCGTGAAATCTTCCATCGTCAACATTTCTTTTATTGGCTTTCGTTAAAATGAAGCACCATTTATAAATAGGCACAACATTTTCCTAGAATCATGTCTGGGCTAGAAAATGTTGTTTACATTTGGGGAATCAACGAGGCGAATAAATAACATGGATGAGACTTAATGAGATATTTTAAGCCGAGCGGAATATTTGCGAAAAATTTACTGGCGATAATTAAGTGTGAACGACTAAAAATACGTGAAATGAGCTATAACAGTGGAAAATAGTTAATCTAAGCTGGCAACTAAATTCCATGTGTGTCAGAAGTAAATACTAAAGGGCGAAAGAAATAGGTACTGAGTGGGCGACAAAAATATTGAGTGACTAATAAACCGGTTTGAGTTAATACTACATAAAATACCATTTTGGGATGTGACTATGTACTGCGGTAATAATATTGATAAATATTGTAATACTATTTGTTGTAATATTTATTTATTTTTCAGCCTTATTATTCTCCTGAAAACAGCCTAACAATTTAGGGGAAGGGGCGACGAAGCGATAACGCTGCTGTGCAGTGCGGGACTCTTAATTTTATCTCACTTAATAACAGCTTTTTGGTATATAATTAGCTAAAAAGATGTACAGACCACAACTAACAACACATAAAGGCCTCATAAGAACTTAAGTTCATTGCTCAACATAATACGTATTTTGAAACATTTCGATTAGAGTACAGGGTGTTAGGTATATGAGCCGACACTAGCCCATGTTAACATGGTCATATAAATGGTATGGTGAAGTCAGAAAATTGATATCTTCATTTTAACTTTTTTAATTTTAATACAAATCGGAACTTGTAAAATTTATTTTGTATGAAAATTAAAAAAAAAAAATCATGATATCAAATTTCTGACTTCACAATACCATTTATATGCCTATGTTAACATGGGCTAGAGTCGGCTCATATACCCATTAACCTAACACCCTGTATAACGCAGCACTTATAAAAGATGTTGAATATCCGCTGAAAACCAGCGTCGAACCACGCGTGTCTCGATTAAATGCTGAGCGGGCGCCTTTTTGGCACAAAACACCGACATATTTGTATATTTTAAGTTTGTTGTTATTTTTGTGTCAAATAAATATTTTTCTAATATAATGTGAGCTGCAAAATTGTTACTCTAATATTTTGTTCTATTCGAAAACCCGTAATTCAAATTATTTTTTCAAGTCGCCTTTTTCAATATTTCTATTCGCCCTCAGTCCTTCGCCCATTTAGTATTCCAGTGCGAGTTTAAATAGTATAAATACTACCCTTTACTTATTTAACTGTGCGCCTGTGTGTAAAATCTGCTAAAATTTGGACTTGTTATTTAAGTTTATACGTAAGACGCAATACCCTAATTGACTTCAATCTTGTGTTATGATGATAGGGTCCCAGCTCAGTAAAGCACTCACAGATATAAGCTGTCATGGCGCTCTTGTATATTATTAACATATATTAAGAAATGACATTGATAAGGAAAATTACCTCGCATTTTGAATTTTTTACCATGTTTCAGCAGCTTCAAAGGGTGTGTTACAATGTACGAGACAATGACTTTCTGGCACATCTCCCAAAACATGAGGACGCAGGTCAAGGAAGAAAACTATAGCAATGGATACTAAGTAAAGAACATTGTCAAAACCTAAAATATAAATGTAATTGGCCCATAAGAATAACCGATAATCAGTAAGGAAAATAAATTGTGCTGTAGGAATCGCTACTTTATAAACGCTTATTACCTACATCTCTTCAACTTAATATCTGTTACATAATGACCAGACCTTTAAAAGCGTGTGCTTCATGTTTAGAACATTTTTTATTTGAAAGCTACTGAAAACGTAAATACATATTTAACGAACCCCTCTATGCAAATAGTTATTTTGAGTGCAAACTAAAACTAGAGGGTTCAACGTTGTATTTTCTCCCTAATGATGTATTTCATAATGCACGTGCTCGGAAACAATTAAAGTACTCTTATGTTGTAGGTGTTTAACGAACGAGTTGGTTTTAAAACATAATATTTTAAAGTATGTACACATTTTTAAATTCAATAATAAATGTAACCTGTTAAGACTATCAAAGTCTTATTACCTACATGTTATGTATTTAAGGTGGAGGTGTTATGTATGTACTTTATAATTAATAATATTGCGATACGAGGGTATGCCTAAATGCTTTTGACAAGCCTGTATTTGTAAGGAGAAGCCAGTCACCAAATATACGCCGTTGAGTTAACCTGAGTTTCATTCCGATATACAACATTAGCAAGGATACTTGATTTCGATAACTAAGATGTGTTGCGTATACTTCAGTAACTATTTCTCAGATCGTTGTGGCAATAATGAGCTCGCACAACGTTATGGAAAGGGAATGTTGTATTACAATACAATTGAAAGGGTACTTCTCTATGTTACCCCTTTCCTTGTTCAGCTTTTCATGCCTTCCTTTGAAAATCTACCGATCGTGTGCTATGCGCCAAGCACATTTCAAGTTATAAAATGAAGGCTAGTTAAAAAAAGCTTTAAATCATACATGTTACACTCTCATTTGATACACCAACCACATGGTGCACTTTTTCAATGTGAATTGGTATGTAAAATACTAAATACACGTGATAAACTATTGTAAAAGTCCCTATGATCTTGAAAAAGCTGTTGTGGTGATGTGCCCACAAATGCCGCAAGCGGGCAATAATTTAGGAAGTCGGGAATATTGAGAAATAATTTAAATAAATTTTAGATAAAAGCTCCTGGAAGAGTTAAAAGGTTAAAATATTTGTATGGAATACAGCATGTCTTTAAAAGTAGGTCAAAACAACTTTAATTACCAAATTAGATCAGGTAACTTTGCAAAAGAACTACACGATTATTTATCTGAAATATATGAAAAACTCAATTACGTCTGTCTTTCATTATGAAATCAACAAAATCAAATATTATTAATCAAATCAACTTACCGAAAACAGGAAGATAGAGATTGTTTTGGGCGTCTTCTGCCACCACTGCTGGTGTTGCCCATTTTGGAAAAAAGGAGACTGAAACTATTTTTGAACTAAGTGAAAGTACTAAGAAAATTTTCTAAGTGCCTGAAGTTCATTAAGAAAGCGCGTGAACGCAAAGCTATCGCAGAAGGCGAGAGCACTACTGAAGGCGGCGCGTCGCTACTGCACGCACGGTTGGAGTGACGGATCCTTCGTCCCAGCCAGCCAAGGATCACCCCGTAGTGAGGTGAAAATAAATAAATCGATACACAATCGCGTTCGTCAAAATAGTGTATCGAATAAATCACAGCATTAATATTTTGCACAACATTCTAATCCGAAAAGTATCGAGTCCACCCGAGTCGATAGGATTCGGTCACTCTAGCGTTTTGTTTCGACGGCCGCCAGCGTAAGCGCTCGTATTACCCGTTCGACGAAATAGGATTTATACAGCCTTATAGCGGCGGCCGAGAGCTGTCCAATCGCCGAAAACATGTATCAAACCTAGACTAGTGATGTTATATTCGATGTTATACTCTGCCTCTAAGGCTTTAAGTCAAACCATTTTCTGAGAAATACTTTCTTTTCTAACTTGTTATTTTCGCCTTGTCGCTTGTCAAATTGTTTGCCCGTCACTGTCGTATTTCAGAGTGCTTCTTCAGTTAATGCTTTTTTACTTTTCCATCATCAGATACAGTATAAATAAACTACAATTATTGAAGAATTTCTTGATAAGGTTTATTCTATAATTTAAGTATGAATTGAATAGCATCATTCGACATCGGATATGCTGAAACATTTCCCGTACGTACTGCATGAAGTCCAGCTGATTATTTCCGCGGAATTTTGTTTGTCCGAATTAAGCGTATTTTTTGAGAACGCCGATAATGGAATTCGATGGAATATAAAGCAAAAGCGCCGATCCTTTATTGAAATAGTTACCTGTTGTAGCACGTTTTTGATGGAATTTCAGATATTGTTTACCGATTGGCTCGGATTTTGTTTGATTTTAATATCGTTTTCAGAATACAGATGGTTTTAGTTTTGAAGTGCATGTGGGACCTATTGGTATGGATTAATAAGTTTGCCTACGGCGACATTAGTATTTTCTTTATACATTAATTGGGTTTCGGCTTCCACGAGAAGGTAAAAGGAAATAATCACATTTCGTAACTTACAGGAAGTGCGCTGATTGCGTACCTCCCGGACAACATTTCTTTTTTCGCTTCATGACAACGAAAATAATGCTAAAATGTAACCAGCGGGCGAAGCCGCGGGTAAAAGCTAGTATATATTATAGTTGTTGCAATTCTCGATTTCTCGAAGGCGAGTGAGCTTTACATGTATGGTGGCTCGCTAGTAAGTACTGTTAGTTTTTGAAAAGTTTTGATTTACATTACACTATCGTTATGTGCATGTCAAGTAAAGCTCACTCGCCTTCGTGAGTTGTAAGAACTATAGCTGATTGTCAATTGAAATAGTGTTAGTAATGAATTGGTGTTGATCACATGCATCATCTCATTTCACTTACAATTTTGTTCTTTACACTTTAGATAGTGGCAATTTAGGTGTATATTTTGTTTAGCTATAGACTTACGGTCTACACAGGTTACAGTGGTGGTAACTGAGTGATTGGTGGTAGAATATAAGACAGATGGTGGAGCAGTAAAGCTAACCTTGTAGCAGTGTCGAGGGACTGTGGAGTTCCCGGCGCCGCCGCCTCGCCGTCCGGGAGGTCCGGGATGTGAGGGAGCGGCCGGCTCTGCAGCAGCGCCTCTGTTGACAAACAAATAACACATTAGTAACAGAAATCCCAACTAATATTATAATCCCAACTAATATTATAAATGCGAAAGTAACTCTGTCTGTCTGTCTGTCTGTTACGCTTTCCCGCTTAAACCTCGCAACCGATTTTGATGAAATTTGGCATAGAGATAGTTTGAGTCCCGGGAAAGAACATAGGATAGTTTTTATCCCGGTTTTTGAAACAGGGACGCACGCGATAAAGTTTTTCTGTGACAGACAAAATTCCACGCGGGCGAAGCCGCGGGCGGAAAGCTAGTAACAAATAAATAATCTATTTGCAATAGCTGATCAATTTCATTTAAGGTTTATCTTTCCCCCGGGACAATTTGACCTTCACTGGTTGGGTTTTTATTGGCGGTCAAGCTGATCCTGGCTACACAGGAGTTGCAGATATGGGAATGAGAGGTGGGAATAGTATCGTTATTAGTAATAGCATCTTTTTCGATTCTTACAACGTTTACAGTTTCAATAAAATGAACAGAGTTTTATGAACTTTTGTTCGAGCAAATAAATATGAATTTCTTGTTGCATTTCTTAAGCTTCACATTTCAAACGAAGGAATCGTGAGGATTTAAAGTTTTAAAGTGTTTAAAAGGTTTCAACTTGGTTCTATGCAAAGGCGCAGTTTCAAGGTGAGTTGTGAGATTTACCTTCGTGTAGTAAGTTGATAGTTACTTGTAGATACGAAATCTAAGGTTTGGATGTAGATACTAAAGATTAATTTTGTGAGGTTCGCATCACGAACGAATACATATGTAAGTAGCCGCTAGGGGCGCTGTACAATATGTCATACATTTTTAATGTCATTTTTTTACGCAGTCACTAGCGAGAATACCTATCGTAAACTCATAGTAAGTTTGTACAGAAGAAAATAATATTTCTAACAAATGGATGCTTTGTTGTCCACTGAAGGTGTGTATCACCGTACAGCCAATAGGGGCGGAGCAGTAAAGATGTGCTATGTGTTGAGCTATAAAAGGTGCTATTTTCAACCGACTTCAAAAAAAGGAGGAGGTTCTCAATTCGACCCGTATGTTTTTTTTCTATGTTTGTTACGCGATAACTCTGCCAATTATGAACCGATTTGAACAAATCTTTTTTCGGCGTATAGGTAATACCTCAAGGGTGGTCCCATTTAAATTTAATAATAAAAAAAACAACCCCCAAGGGTGGAAAATTGGGGATGAACTTTTTTATACGCAATATCTCCGCCGATTATAAACCAATTTGAACGATTATTTTTTTGTTGAATAGGTATTATCAAAAGGGTGGTTTCATGCGAATTTGAAGAAAATATTTCACCCCCAAGGGTGGAAAATTGGGGATGAACTTTTTTATACGCAATATCTCCGCTGATTATGAAATTTGAAGTCGGTTTTATTTATTTTTTAAAGTTAATTAAGTAATAAAAAATTAAATTCTGATGTGCTGACGAGTGTACATTTCAAGTGAAATTGTCTGCAACCGGCGACCTGTGATCGAGTGTTGGGACGCTGACATCCCAATTTCAGAACAAACGAATTGTCCACTTGGAAGCGAGTTGCGTCTGCGTCCACCTCGATGGCGACTGCTCATTATACGCCGCTCTTCGCTGTGAAGTGGCCGAGTGTCAGGACTTTGATGGAGCGCCGGACGCGAGTCAGTAGCCGAGCTCTATAGTGTTAGTATAACTTTATGTTTGGATTGTCGTTTATGGTGTTTCTTTACGAGATCGAATCAGAAATGAGGAGATCCGTAAACGAACTAAAGTCGCTGACAATTGATATAGTTCGACGGATTAGCAAGCTGAAGTGGCAATGGGCAGGGCACATAGTACGCAGAACTGACGGCCGATGGGGCAGCAAGGTAAGTAAAGGTAGCAGCAGGAAGGCGCTGGACGCAGGCCGCTACCAACCGGGCAACATGGAAAGCATTGTGGGAGGCCTATGTTCAGCAGTGGACGTCCTATGGCTGCGACGATGATGATGATCGTTTATGAAGCTATATCCGTGACATCTTGTGCAGATGCAATCGATGCTATTTTGCAAAAAAAAATACAATCAATTTATTAAACTAAGATATCATATTTAGAGGTAGTCAATTCTCGTTAATAATCTTTTAAACAGGGTTCGAGGATATATATCAAGGGATATATATCAAGATATATATCGGATATATATCCGATATATATCAAGCCGGTTTTGATGATATATATCAACTTTTAAAATTTGTTACTGTATTTGTACTTTTTGACATAAGATTTTTATTTTTTTAGTTGATTTTGCCGTATTTCAAAGATATTTTATGTTTTTGCTTTATTTGTCTGATTTTAAGTTTTAAAAACATGTTTATGTAACACATATGCAATAGAATTCATGAATAATACAATAAAATAATACTATGTCTTTCATACAAAATTAATATATATCAAAATTGATATATATCGGATATATATCATAAATATCCGATATTTTGATATATATAATAAATATCGGATATTTTCGAACCCTGCTTTTAAAAGTACCTAATTAGTTATCGTAATGTAATCTTTACTTTAGTTTCAATCAATTTAGAGTCCATTTAGGATTATTTAACTCATCAAACAGAAATCTATCTCACATATTTTCTAGATCATCAAACAAAACGAAGTGTACCATTTTGGAATCAAATATTTAATCTAGACAGCTCCATTGCAAGCACTATCGCGCCTTCAATATCTACATTCTGAGAGAGTTCGCATTTCGCCGACTGCATATTGCTATTTGCTTTTGTATTAAATTTAAAATCACAGCCAAATGTTTTCCTACCTTCGCCTTTGATGCTCATACGTCTCTCAACATTGGAGTTCCTTCGACGTGATATTTATGAATGTTTTAAAATAGCGCATATTTACTGTTTACCCGTTACCACATTCGATCGCAAACAAATACGACGCTTTGAAAGGACTCTACTAATTTATTAGTTTCATTAGTTTCGTTCGTTTCAGCCAAATGACGTCCACTGCTGGACAAAGGCCTCCCCCAAGGTTTTCCACAATGAACGGTCCTGCGCTGCCCGCATCCAGGCTCTTCCCGCGACCTTTACCAGATCGTCGGTCCACCTAGTAGGAGGCCTGCCCACGCAGCCACGCTACGTTTTCCAGCCCGTGGTCGCCACTCGAGAACTTTCCTGCCCCAACGGCCATCGTCTCTACGAGCTATGTGCCCCGCCCACTGCCACTTGATTTTAGCAATTTATTTATTTATTTATTTATTTATAGGTACAACAACAGAATACAATCTCAAACATTTTTATAGAATAACATTAGTTTTTTTGCATTCAAATTGAATTCCTATAAATGTTGCACACAATTATTAATTCTGCGAGCTATGTCGGTTACTTTGGTTCTCCTACGGATCTCCTCATTTCTGATTCGATCACGCAGGGAAACTCCGAGCATAGCCCGCTCCATCGCCCTTTGGGTGACCTTGAGCCTTCTTATGAGGCCCATAGTAAGCGACCACATAGTAGTTTCTTTTGATATTAAGCAATTTTATTAAGAGTATTTCTGTTTATTGGCGCGGTGTATAGAATAACTTACCCGTATTTAAAAACTAGCTTTTGCCCGCGGCTTCACCCGCGTGAAATTTCGTATGTCACAGATCGTCATAAATTATAGCTTATATGTTATTCTGGGTTATAAACAATAATACTGTAAAGTCTCATCAAAATCCGTTAAGTATTTTTTGCGTGAAAGAGTAACAAACATCCAGACATCCAAACTTTCGTAATTAATAATATTAGTAGGATATTGCAGGTGCTGTTCAGGTGTATTCACAAACGATGCTTGCTTAACTGAAGCAGCAAATCGAACGTACAGCGTTGAATAGAGCTCTGTGATTGGTTCGTGTGTGACCCTGTGCGTCCACGCGCACTGTGAGACCTCATAGTAATGTTTGTGAATACGGGCGTTATAGTTAGTTGATTGTATGCCATTAGATGAGATAAAAGTAAGTACACTTACACATGTAATTTAATTTTGTTGTGTTTGCTTAGTTTGAGACTAGAAGCGCAGTGTAAATGTCTAAAAAAAATATACAAAGAATATCGTAGTCTCTTTGCTCGACTGACTGAAGCTGTTGCTCTATATCCATTTATTGTGAACTAACATCAAAACAAAATGTATAAAACTATCAACTAACTATAAGTATCTTTCACCATCTATTGAATGTTTTTAATAATGCAAATTATTACAAAATCTAATTAGTTACCTGCATGTAACCGACCGAAGTAAATGAATAATTTAAACCTCACTGCCTTCTGGCTTTCGGTGTAAATAATAATTGTACATTTAATACTAGACATAATCCATTAATCTGTTATCCATAGTTATTAGACATTTTGCATATTTTAATGCTAAATATAACGAGAAAACGTTTTTTTAATAAAAGAAATCGATTGCATAGAGAGAGAAAAGAACACACGACCTTTCTCTTGTTTGGTTGTAAATGTGTTTAGGATTCAAAGTCGAAACTTTCTTTGGTTTGAAAATTTTTTAGACTTACAAAAAAATTAATTGCAACTGTCGGGCATCACTCTAAATGCACTCTAAAAATGTTTCGTGTGTCGGAACTTAAACACATCACTGACACTACTAATCTGAATCTACAACCAAAATAACTAATTAAAAAGTTAAATAAAATCGAATCTATACTCAAATGTAATCGATACTAAAATTATAAAGAGGTAAAGTTTGTGTGTTTGTATATTTGTTAAATTGTAAAGGGTAATCTCGGGAACTACTGAATAGATTTTAAAAATTCTTTCACCAATAGAAAGCCACATTATTGCTGAGTGTCATAGGTTATAAAATATAAAAAACGGAAAAATTCCACGCGGGCGAAGCCGCGGGCGGAAAGCTAGTTTTAAAATATACAGGTTCCGAGTATTTTTTATCATAGCTAAGCGAGCAGTGCCGCGGGCATATGCTATGCGTTATCGAGAAAGCTACA